GATGTGAAAGACTCATTGCCAGTTATCGCAAACGCTTGATTGCAGTTGTTGCTGCAAAGGGTGGCACAACCAGTTATTAGATTTAGGGGCAATTACTTTTTCACGTAGGGCCAGGCAGGTTTGGACAGCTTTTTTTCCTTAATAAATGAAATCATTATTTCAAAACTGCATTTTATATTTACTTGGGCTATCTTTGTGTAATATTAAATCGTATTAAATTAAATATTAAGTAATATTATTTAATCTTTTAAGTGTGACAAACATGCAAAAAAAAAAAAAAACAGGACGGGGTCAAAAACCTTTTCACGGCACTGTAGATGAATACTATAGGGTGGGTACAAGCTCTTAATTCAATTCTGATTCATTTTTATTCATTTGGGCATATTTCAGCTACAATATACGTTTGCTTGCATATGTGAGTGAAATTCTCTCTATACTAATGCTGTACACTATATACGATGAACCTTCTGACTTGGTAAATAAAAAATATGAATTTGAAAAACTAACAACAGAACCCAAATGTAATTCAATTACTGTTTAACAGATATAATCATAGCTTTTATCATAATCCTACACCATGTTTTTCCATAATCAAGGATTATATCTGTTAAATATAATTTCTTACAGATATAATCAACACAACCAAAACTGCTCTGTGCATACCAGCTGAAGTAAAATTGACAGTCAATTAGACACTAAAGTAAAAAGTCATTTTGAATAATTAAAAAGGCCAGCTCATACCAGCCATTTGTTTATAAATGGGATTATACTGTTTGCACTGTAGGCTGTTTTGATTCACTAAATAGAACTAATTTATAGGAGTAGTTTGTAAATTTGACTGGTTGCGCTGTTATCACATTTACTCAAACTCAGCTAAAATATGACTTCTTTTTCCATGGGGCTGTAGATTTAGTAATAGTAATGTTGTAATACTGTAGTAATATCCAATTTTTAGAATCAGTATCGGGATTGTTTGAATGAAGATTTCTGATCAATATTTGTATCCTGCTTTAATGCATACATTTTTACTTTATGAAAGTAGATATTCATTGTATGGGATTGTATGGATGTGATGGGGGTTGACGGCTCTCATGAGAAAACCAAGGTGTACTGTAACATCATTATTCCCAGGCACACTGCCAAGATGAACACACAGCTGCCGCCCATGCGCTCTCATTCCAACATATGCTGTAAGTAATAGAGGAGGAAAAGACTGAACCACTGAGAAAAGTTCATGAGATGGTGCTTGAACTCTAAAAGACACTGGCTGAAAAACACTTGCCAACTTTGTTTGCAGAAATCATGAGGAAAATTCTCAATATTTGCAGTTTTGAATGACATCAGCTCTAGCAGCATGTGTTTTTCGGCATTTTGTGAGGTTTGCGAACAGGGTAGACAAAGTGCGGTCTGTGAGGAGGCTAGTCATTAGAGTGTGTAATAAATGGCCCATGATTTGGAAATGACTGGAATGTGTGTGTATTGTGTGAATGGGTTGTTATGTCTATGGCTGGAATCCTAAAGACTGATTGGATCTGCTGTTTCATCGTATTCAGACAGTCAAGTCACACTGAATGTTAAACTATGAAGTGTTTTTTCATGAGAATGACTCGCACAGGCCTGGATTTTCCAGAGACCACAGAGTGTAGAAACAAAATTAGTCAGATATTCTGGTCCTAAACAACAGTGTGTGTGTACCTGTAAAAGGTATCCAGATGCCCTTATTTAGGCTCTTCAACCATTCCTCCCCCTGACCACAGCTGTTTGACAGGAAGAAATATGAGCCAGGACTAACCAGTACATCCCTGTTTCCTCCTAAATGGAAAGACAGTGGGAGAATACATGGAAAAAGTTAGTTTAACTATCCCACAGCATCTAAATACCCAAAAGTAGGTTCATGTAGATCTCAAACAAATTTTGCAGCATAATTTACTTATACTATAATCTTGATGTATAGCCTGATGCACACATGCATAATTCCTAATAATATGTACTGAATAGATATGTTATAACAAACACATTATTGACTATTATATCAAATGTAAGCAAACCAAATGGATTGGTCACAGAGACTTGTCAAGTCAAGTACAGTAACAGTATATTTGTTTCCATTCTTTAAAATCCAACACAAGGTGGTTTTTAATGTTTGCTTTGGTTTTGACAGCAACCAAACCCGACATTAAAAATCCACACACTCATAAATAGCCACTGTTTTTTCCATCCTGTCACAGTGTGACATGTCAATATGCCTGCTCTGTGGGTGCTGGGAAATTGGGGGTTTGAATTTACAAGGTTTGTTTTAAGAAGTGAATTTTATGCTAGAGTGTTTTTAATGATGATTTTTTTTTTCTTTATACTGTATACAACATCAAATCTTCGTCTTTTGAGTGGAGTAAGGCTAAAGCTAAGTGGTGCGTATTGCTCTTCATTGTGTGAAAAATCTCTGTTGGTCCATAATGGTCATTGTGTCCTTCAAGTCCATCAGTGAGCTAACTGGAAGACAGCCCAAGATGAATCAGATCACTATTTCTTATCTTTAAGCACCATAAGAGTTCAGCAAGGGAAAAGGAGAGCATTGATTTTCATAATTAAATTAAAAACTCTTGCCATTTTTTCTCCTTCATGCATTTCTCAGAGACAATATTAATCACAAGATGGGTCTCGGTCACAATTAAAGTATGCCCCAGATTCCACTCACATTTGCCAGTAGAGTGCAGTAATTAATTCCAAAGAGGACACTTTCTGTAACAAGACGAGAGCTGTAAAAATCCAGCTAAGTGGTTTATCAATACCGACCACTTGCTGAGGCTGGCCTAAGCAATAATGATATTAAAAGGAGAGCATTGAAATGCCATGAAAGGGCATTTCACAGATTCAGAGCAGGGACTGCCACAGTGGGGACCAAATCCTCGGACAGTCATTGATAAGTAGGACTTGTTAAAAATACTGGCGGGGAATATGGACATAAAATGTTATTTCACTCAAAAATGAAAATTCATTTATTTACCCTTGTGTCTCTTCCCCCTGTCAAGACCTGGAATATAGTGCAAAGTTATTTTATCTGGCTTTTTTTGGTAATTTTTTAAGTTGAGCAGCATCCTTTCCTATCACTGTCAGCATATGGAAAAGTGCTGCATTAACATTCTGCTTGACATCTCCTTTTATGTTCCACATATGAAAGAAAGTTATAAGGTTTGGAACAACATGAGGGTAAATAATGACAGGATTTTCTTTTTGTTTATCTGTTTCAATGCAAGTACATTAAGATAAATATGAGAACCAGTGCAAGTAGTTGGTTCATTGACCAGAGGTGTAAAGAGTACCTAAAAACCATACTTGAGTAAAAGTACAGATACCTTACAGTGAAAATTACCAATTCCAAAACAACTTGAGTAAAAGTCTTAGAGTATCTGATTTTAACAGTACTTAAGTATTTTACTTATACTAAATATAGGCTCAAAAAATGCACTAGTCAAAGAGACATGCCAGTCAAAAACTGTAACATTGTGGAGAAGCTGGGGAAAACAGGCAGAGTCAAAGATCTATGTGCAGGTATTTAATGGAAGAACTAGAACAAACAATAAGCCAAAAACCAAAGGGAACAAAGAACAGAATGACTGGCAAACAGACAACCATTACATTCAACAACTCGCAAGGAACTAAAGAAAAACTAGGGCTATATATACACACAGGGGGCTAACAAACTTAACAAGACACACCTGGGGAGACTAATCAAGGGGAACCAATGAACAAACAGACTACAAACACCACGGGAGACAGGAAGTGACATAAAAGTCCAGGGCAAGGCACAGAGAACATGAAACAAAAACAAGAGTTGATTTGTGAGGAGAGCAATCACGTTTATTTTCTAAAACCAAAATAAAACTGAACACCTCAAAATAACAAAACAAAACAAACAAACAATATCTTTCAAAAAGGTCTCTTCAGTATAATGGATAAATAAAATAATGTTAAGTAAAAAGCCGAAGCCTTCTTGCAGTGAATGTGCTGGTTTGGGCCTCATTGCCGGCTGCAGTCATGTCCTCATCTCATATATAAAACACCTCTGATTCACAAATACTTGCTAAGGAACTCGCATTCACATAAAGTAGCCTTGTTGACAAGTTTGGGTGAGTAAGGGCAAAACGCACAAGATGCAGTACTTTCAGTGACCTGTAATAGGCAGTATCACGTCTTTTGTAGCAGAAATAAACTGCTGCAGAAAAAGCTAGGTCCATGCAAAATGTAATGTGTAACTGCAACACTCATTTCAAATGTAGTGGAGTAAAGAGTACAGATACTCAATCAAAAATGTAGTGAAGTAAAGAGTAAAAGTTGCTAATATCTTTGATACTCAGTACAACTACAAAGTACCCGAAAAGATACTCAAGTACAGTAACTAATTACATTTACTCCAATACTTCACACCTCTGCAAATAACTAAACTATGATATTTTGCTCTTTTAGGGTCACAATGGCTCCTGCCTTCCGCTTGACTCTGAAGCCCAAAGCCACAGATAATATGACCCACCTGATGGTGGACTTCAGTCAGGAGAGACCGCTTCTGCAGGGCCTCAAGTTCCTCCCCGGTAAGCTAATCACTCATTTGTTCTTTAGCCGCTTGTATTACAGGATCAACCCATCTAGAGTTTGAACCTACAGCCTTTCAGTTTCCAACAACCCAGCATCTAGTTACTAAACCTGTGATAGAAGAATCTACTATAACCTGTTCTGTAAATATGATGATTATGATTCTTATCATCATAGAAATGTTTCCACAACCAAAGGATCTTAACATTAATTTAAAAGAATGTTATTGTTATGTTTACTAAAACATCTCAAATATGCCATTTCACATAACCCTAACACTCCGATATTACATGTGTTGCATGACGCTAATGTGAATACTTGGATACAAAAAAAACTGTTATGTTCCACTCTTTTATTTCATGTCAGCTAAATAAGTAAACCCTGTCACTTTTTTCATGGGTATTCAGTACAAAACTTATTTAGCATTAAATGGCCTATCAGAGTTGTTAAAGGAATAGTTCACCCAAAAATTAAAATTTGATGAAGATTTACTCTACCTCAGGTTATCCAAAATGTAGATGAGTTTGTTTCTGTTCACATGTGTATTCATGCATCAGGGTGACTCTCTGCAATTTTGTGTGTCCACTCTGGTTTCGTGTCTCATGATGCACCAAATCCAGAAATTTAAAAATACCACTAAAACATTTTTTTGCATCACCTGCCTGTAACGACGTAAACCC